AAAAAGAAATTATTAGACACAAATATGGAGCTATGTTCGAAAACATTTGTTTTACATAGTTTGTTTTCTCTATCTCTCTAACTTGTACAAATTTTATTCTTTTGGGCGCCATTTAATCTGCTCCAAACTTTGTCTTTAATTTATATTTTTATACTTTTATCATTTTATTAATTAAGTTTCAGTTTTGTTATTTTATTAATTAAGTTTCAAATTTATTATAAATGCTGTTACGTTTAAAAGACTTTATCCTAAAGTGATTAATAAAATAAAGTTTAACAATAATAACAATAACAATAATTGTATTTTCAAAACATTTTCTTCAATTTCAGTTTTAATTATTTTTAATCTTTTTTTTCTTCTTTGTATTTCATCAATCTTATTCTATGCGAATAATACCTCTTTTTCGACACATCGCTGTTCATCGGGTTGCGAATTTTAGGTGCATTAGTGATATATACATATTTACTCTTTCACATTGAATTTAGCGTATTTAATAACTTGTATAAATCTCTAATAAATATTGTAATCAAATAAATCTTTCCTTAAAGAACATATTTATAATCAAAAAATATGGCAAAAATGTGACAAATTATAAAATATAAAAGTATTGTAATGTACAAATTGTAACAAAATTCGAAATTTCTCAAATTTATCATTTCAAAATTTATCATTTTTGTCATGTTCGATGGAATGTACATATACATACAGAACAGAAATGGATATTTTTAATAGATGTCTACTATGGAGATTTGTAACCTCTATTAGAGGTCCATATAATCTCCATTAGATCTAATCTCCATTACATCTATTAAATCTATGTATTCAGATCCATAGTTCCATGTTTCTAACTTTTATTAGATCTCTATTAGAGATGTTTCTGTAGATATCTCATGGAGCTTGTATGGATTAATTATGGATGTTTCATACAACTTTAAAATATGACTAATAAACGTTAAGTAGAAACGTTAAGTAGAAACTTTTGAGAAATTCTTATAAGAATGTTATTCAAAAAAATACTTCAATATATCAATACGTTTTTGCATCTTATATAAACTTTTTGATTTTTTTATTATTTTTTTTATTTTATTTTTCTTAAAATCAGTATTAGTAATGTTATTTAGTACTTTAGTTAAGAAAAATTAAAAATTCCACATCATTGTCAACCATCGGTGTTCTAGCGAAAGAGGTTGCAAGAATATTTAGTTATTCCACCATTTTTCAATATTTTCAAAAAAATACGAAATGAAGTTAAAAGTTATATTACTAATCTGTAAAAAATCTAAGCTTTTATTATTTATTTCTGAAAAAGATTCTCAAACTTTTTTTATTTTTTAATAGAATCTAAGTATGTATTTCTTTAACATGCGGATAATTATGCAAAACCAAACAATATTTTTTTTATTTAAAATATTTTATAAATATAAAATAATTTATACATTTAATGTAATTAATTAAGGAGGGATATCAGAGAGTAACAAGTCAAAAAATCGATTTTTTTTTAATTTTTATTTTTATCTGAAAGTTCAACTCTTAAGAATATATTTCCACTGTTTAATTTGACTTGAGAAAAAATAATAAAGTTATTGTATATTTCTGAGAGTGTATTTAGCCATTTCAACACGTCGTTCTATAAGCGGTACAACAAGAACTTTTCACGAACGCTCTACACGAACTTGAAATGAATTAGTTTTTATCTGCATCGATCTATATGAATCTCTTTGACTCTAAGATTCTTTTGTTTGTTCAAGCATGTTTTGTTTGTTTTTAGCAAATGTTTTCTAACAAAAACTTATAGAATCGTATCAAAAAGACAATTTCGTCAATTGTATATTATATATCAAAGAAGTACTATTGCAACATAATAGTTGACTTTTGTGATACAAAAAATGGATAGAAAATGTCGCTAGAAAAATTCTGAAAGAACAGATCGAATGAAAAGATAATAAATCCTAATTCAAAAACGGTTGAGTAGAAAAGTGAAGCACCAGAAAATAATGGAACAGAGGAGAGTATCCGGTCCACAGAAAATTTATTATGTGATCTTGGAATAGCAGACTAAGGTACATAACAAAATTACTTTTTATCAAAAAATTATTTAAACTTGAAACTTTAAATACGCTTTTCTGAAATTTTTCTCAATTTTTTGAACTTTTTGAACTTATTAGTAGGATTTTTCAAAAAGTATTGAATCT